TTGTCAGAACAAGGAGGAAGGAGAGTGGAGAAATACACATTTAAAAATAAACATTTGAAGTCAGAGATTTGTCCAGCACATTGTTCGACTCTCTGAGAACCAGACCTCTTTGATAACTTCGGCTTCTTCAGCTATGATGGTCTCGAAAAAAATCTAGTTTTGATAATGGAAATACGGGCTTTCATATGTCATGATACAGCTATAAACCATCTTGGCCGATTGGTCAGCACGTGACTTGCAATCCAGCGGTCCTGGTTTCCAGTCCCGCTCTGACCACTAGCTCGATTTGTTCCTCGGTCGTCCCGAGTTCAAATCCGGTCATGATGTTTGTGTATAGGTTGCTGGTTGCGTCTCTACCTGTTGGGTTTTTTAAAATCATTTATATTATATTTTCGTGTTACTTAATTAAAATGGTTTGTGTAAAGTGCCTGTAAACTAGCTAGGATATCTAAGTCTACTTCAACTCTACATAAAACATTTACCATTTAATTAAGCCTCTGAAAGGAGTGATTACAGTCTAAAATGAACGCGGTATGACCAGTGAACCATCAAAAACAGCTGTCCTTGGCAGCCAATTCGCCACTGCTTTAGAGACGAGAGGGGAACCGGAGCCGAAAAAATGTCCCCTAGTTGTTTTTGGGATCGTTCCTGGGGACGCGCCATTCAGCTATTGGCCATTTTTTCCCCTGTCCCTAGGAAGTACAGTCGACTCCCGATAACTCGAACCTTCAAGGGAAATCGAAGAAGGTTCGAGTTATCGGGAGCTCGAAAAAAGTAGCCAGGAGTAAGGAAAAAACAGTTTTTACGGCAGTGAACATTTTAATCACATTTAATTGGAGAAATGTCAAGTGAAAATTAAAAGATACTTCCAGATTATAAATCAGAACGTAACATAACAAAACTTTGCTTAAATAGAGTATGAGTTTTACTGTTTTGAGAAAAAAACTATTTTACGTTAGATTTGTGACAAACAACATCAGCCTCTAATAGTAAACTATATACCTACAACACGTCAATGGGAAATTCAAAATTCAATGTTTGGGACGCCAGTAGGCTGTCTTTTCCCGACTTTTAAGGGCTCAAAACATGGTTCGAGTTATCGAGGGTAAAATTATATAGAAATGACCTGAGGGGAAACAAAAACTACTTCGAGTTAGCGGGAGGTTCGAGTTATCGAGGGTAAAATTACAGTAAATGTATGACGAAAATCCAGGGGAAATCGATTTTGGTTCGAGTCAGAGCGGGGTTCGAGTTAGCGAGGGTTCGAATTATCGGGAGTCAACTGTAGTCACAGTCCCACAAGTCTTTGCGAGAGTCAGTTAAGGCTCAGTTTCCTTCCCGTTTCCAAAGTGGGAAATGCCCATGTGATATGTGATATGTCTGTGCGCATGTGTAAGGTACTGACTTTACCACAGGGAGTTGTGTGTTGTGAATTTATTAGCGGGGCTCCACGTACGCGCGAAGCGCGCGCGAGCGTAATCCCATACCTAAGAAAATGTGGTAATCTGCCCATCTGAGAAATTTTGGGAATCACGTGACCGTACCCTCGACCGTCCGTCCGTCCGCACCATAGGCATACCAATGTAAAATAATTCAATCAACAGGTATGCCAGCCCCCAATGCAACTTGAGTTTATTTGGCGGGAAATGGCATAGCCACCCGCGTCTCGTGAAGCCGAGACAACTGAAGAGTTAATAAAGACGAAAACGGAAAGCGGAAATGGTTTCTGTATCCATGTTTTCTAAAGTATTAAGCTTAGATTAATTATCACGTCCACAAGTTTGGAATATAGAGAAAGAGAAAAACAGAGAAAAAGAGAAAGTAGGTGACAGGCCAGCGAAGCTCAACGAGAAAAAATAGGGACAGAGAGCGAGAGCGAGAGATAAAAAGCAAAGGAGAGGAAGGACAACCAACATGAAAAATTTGTAGCAGCGGTGAGAAAATAAGAAATGCTGGCGGCCAAATGAACAAAACAGTTTATTACACCAATTAAATTGAATAATAAAAGCATTTGTGGCCACTTACCGGCGTTTTTCATTGTTCTGAATCGCGGCATGTAGTTAGCAGTGTAGTCCTTCAATAACCAAGGCGGAAATCCACCCTGAAAATAATTGTTGCAATTGCGTGATAGAAGCAAAGCGCCTTTGAATGTTCAAATAAGGTGTCTGAAAAATATATTAATTTTTGTTACACGCTTACCATATCTCGCTCAGCTGCGATGAAAGGGCCTGCAAAAAGAACACGTATGGCTGTAAGAAAACATGCTCGGCAATAAGGAGGCACGCATAGCTATTAGAAAACACGTGTGGTTATAAGTGAAGACGCACGGAGAAGACGCATGGCTATAAGAAGACATTCATGGAAAACACATAAGGCTATTTACGTTTACACTTGATCCTTGAACACTAGTGCCCGGAGATTTTGTACCCTCAGGCGCTATTTTGACGAAAGAGCGTCACATGGTTCTGATAAGACTTTTTTTAATGGAAGATACAGAAGCTAATGAAAGCAATGAGCATTTATATGTAGCAATATTTCATTAGCACATATAGCGGGGCAACAGAGACTAAAAGATTTATAAGTGAAGAGAGTTGGACTAAGTAAGAGTTTTCAAAGTCAGCTCCTCCACTTTACCCTAAAGAGATTCCACTTTAAAATGGACTTCTCGGTCTCTGCTATACTGCCAACGAATTCCAGCGAGCGCCTTTTCTGAGGTCTATGAGGTGTATTATCTCTTTTTTCGTTTAACTTACCTGCTCTTATAATCACCAGCAACCCCAAAGATCCTGCCAGCTGCGTGAAGTCAACAAAATCGTTTCCTCCCTCAAAGTCATATTGTCCTTCAACTTTCTCGTGGACCTGCCATGCTATGTACCTGTGAGAAAGACAACACAGAGGTAAGATCTTTTAACGATCTGTTATTTGGGTCTAGTCCATTCCATTGCCAGAGGTTCCAGTTGAGAACTTAAATTAAAGTTTTTAAGTGTATCATGACACTGTCGGCGTTGTTTCGAACTGCACCATGGATTGTATTGGGAAGTATGAAAGGCCATCGAAGCCCTTTCATCGTTTCGTATGGTATTGTCTATAAAACTCAGATGAAGGTCGGACAACTCATCGACCTTACATACTGAGGAGACCTTACTTGTTGTTTTAGAGAAAAAAAAGAAAAAGTCCAAAAACAACTGACAGCCAGGAAGCCTCGAACTCGGTTTACTACATTTGTTTCTTATTTAACCACTACAGTAAAGGAGCAGCCGGTACCAACAGCCGTTATTTTATAGGTTTTTTATGGAGTTTCCAAAACCGAAATTAAAACGAAATTTGCCAATACGAGTAATCGCGGTCGAGATTGTTTATTCTCTCAAAACGAGACGACGATTTTGGTCATGCAAAATGTACAGTTCGAGTTTCCTGAGTTTCGACAAGTTTTTCATCGTTTTCGCTTGCTGTGAGAACATCTACGGTCGCTACCGCATCATAAAAAAGTAGCAATGATGACTTCCACCCATAATTTGCCATGTATTTAGGAGGAGAGGTTTTTCATTGTTTGTTGCCTGGAATAAACAATATCGACGCAATTTCTTGTATCGGCAGATTTTTTTCCGCTTGACTGCACCCTGAGAAACCACGTGACATTGCTTTTAACTCGTCAGTTTTTAAGCGCGTGTAAAGATGGCGGATATCGTGAATAAGGTCTATACGCCTGCTGTGCAACTTTGTTCCCAGGGTCCTCTGCCACTCGTCCCCCGTAGCGACAGAGAGAGGGGGACAAGTATGAAAGGAACCTGGGAAGGTTCGCCTGTGGTGTACTCCAGGATATGGGTAGCCTGTGTGTCCTATTTTCATTACGCATACAAGAAGAGGGATGTAAGCTGTACTGTCAAACTCCGTCACCTGCCCCCTTTACGGACACCCACCTAAAACGAACACCTCATTATTACAGACAGTTTACTTTGTCCTTGGGGAGAAGAGCCCTTGCATCGACCTCGATCCCAGGTTCTCTCTCCTACTCGTTCTCTCTCGCTCGCTCCGTGGGGACGGGTAGGAGAGAACCCTGGGAACGAGGTTGCCCTTACATTTTCTCTCAATTCAACCCGCTTTATACGGGCAACCCGTGAATACGGACACTTACTATGGCCCCCTCAGTGTCCTTTTTAACGGATTTTGACAGTATTTGAGTGTGTCTATGACAACGACTTTATCAAAGACAGGACTGCAGACTGGACTCAGTTTAAACGTGCTCTCCTCTTCTCATTTTAACAAAGCTGATCACTCTATTAACGACGACCTTCTTGTTTCCTTAGAAGATCTTAGAACTAATCCTTAGCAACCGTGGCTCTGTTAGAAAAGTACGCGAGACTCACATTATTGAAAAAACACAGGGCTCCTGCAAAACATTAGAGCCGTGGTTATATAAATAGACGTGATAAACTTAATTAGTGACGTTTATATTTTTACCAGCCTATCATTTTCATTTTCAGTTTGCTGTGTATTCAAATCTTGCAAAGAGGTCGACTTGTAGCAAGTCTAGTTGCAAACCGAAATATCGGGCAAATATAATGATATATTTTTGTCAGTAAAATGACTGTTCGGAGAATCAACTTTTGCCTTCTAAAGTTCGAGAAAGGTATACAAATTCTGGATAACTGTTCCATTCGTTTAAGAAGTTTCTCCACCAACTTACCAACGATTTTCGGAGGTTCAGCTTTTCACATTTTATTACCAAGATATTGCGATTATCGTTAAAAGGGGGTTTCAGGGTTTCACAGGTGGGGGAAGGTTGGGGCGGAAATGTTTCGGGCACGGTTTACGGACCAAAAAAATAACTTATCACCTATCACAGACGTCAAAATTTCATTTTAGTTTTTGAGTGACGATATCAGCATGTAAAGCATGGTTTTTCATCCTGCTCTAACGCAAACAATAAAGGAGCAAGAAAGGTGTTTGACAAAAAAGCTTGAAAGTGGCGAAAAGGAAAAGAAAGATGTAAATAGCAATTTCCAAACCTCATCATTCTCATTTGACACTTTCAAAATCTCATCTTCCGGAAAGGTCTCGAAACTGAAAATCACGAAAAAAATTAGTAATGAAATCAAGAATATTGATTATTAATTCCAGTTTTTCTAAGGACACGCTCTTCCTTTTGGTCACGGAACACGAAGGATAGTTATTGAATTCACAGTTCACGAAAAATACAAATAGCTAATCACGTATCGATCATGAAAATATCCCTGCAGGACCCTCTTAAAAAAGGTCTCCTGAAAATTTCGGAATGTCGGAATTTCCATGTCCTCTAACATTCGACGGGACTCATCAAGGTCCATGCATCTGAGGGTTGCTAACAGTTTCAGATGAGACGAAAAAGCCAGCTAAAATAAACTTTCGAGACGACCAGAGTTTAGTGTCTTTCTGAGACTTTCTCTACAAAGTGGCTCTCGAAAGTCCTGACCTCGCGACCTTGTCGTTCGCTCGGTCTCCGGCCATTAAAGCTCGCTTCGCTTGCTTTAAAGACTGCTTCGATCGAGAACTTATGGGAAGTTGAATTGAAGCAACGGCTAGTATGTAGGTCTGTCAGAGCTCCACCCCACCCTCCCCAAGAGGTTGCTTGCAGCAACCTGTATTTTAAGTAACCTGCGAACAGCAAACGCATTTCCGGTCGTCGCTTTTCTCTATTCTTCGGAGGGAGAGAAGCGACGACCGAACATGCGTCTGCTGTTCGCAGGCTAACAACAAAGTGACCCCAAAGACAAAAAATCGGCCATCTGCAGAAAACTCCCTCAAAATTAAGTTCCACGGTATATCTCCATAGAGACATCGACTGCATGGGAGAATTTCGTGAAGTAATGTGATGTAAACGGCTTTTGTATTCTTTAAGGTTTGGATCGTTGGATGCATGGAACTCCTTTTTGGCGGTGCGTTATGCATGATACCATATATTATTATGATTAGTAATAAACTGGCATTTGAAGTTATTGAAATTAGACTTTTGAGTTGAAAAATACTCACGTCTGTATGGCATTTAACCCAGCCGCTTTCATCTTCTCGAGTCTGTCACGCCAAAAAACGCGAGGGACCCTAAAATAGTGAATACTTCCAGAAATATAGCGAAATGGCTCGCCATCTTTAAGGAAGACATTGTTTTTGTAGTCCACGGTGAAGGATCTTGCTGCTGTTTGATGGAAAAGACATGTAGCATAAGTAAGGCAAGCTAGCAAGTAGACTCCGATGGCCATTTTTGCTATCACTGATACTGGAATTTGATAGCTTATGGGGCATATAAACAATCAATCTATCAATCAATCAATCAATCAATGTAAATCTAAATGTAAATATCATATTATCCACTCCCCTCAGGGCTTTTTAGGGATAATTTACAACACTGGTTGGGGGACTTTGCCAGACTGCTTGTGCAGTTTACAGGTAGTAAAGAAATCAATAAATCAATAAAAGAACTGACCCACCGATCATTCCATTGATCAGGAAATCGATCATGTTCAGTTTACCTAACCTCAGAAACTAAATAGCCAAATTTCTCTAAAAAACCTATGCAGAGATTTTCATAATTCCTACAATAGTTTATAATGCGAAACGAGTAGGGCTGGCGCTGTGCTTTTTTTTTAAAGCATGTTGACGTTATCAGGTCACTTTTTCCGGCAGTTTGGAGGCCAGATCAGATCACAGTCCCCTTATAATGTCCTCTCTTGCGTAGCCTGATATCACCTACGGAGGACGATGGGTATGGACTCAATGGAGAAGCTCCGACTCCCGAAGGGTACCGGTAGGGTATTGTGACTTGCACAGCTGGGGACTGGGACCGAGTTATGTAGCTGCACTCTCAGTCGCACCCTCAGTCAAAGTAGGCTACGGTCCGGTTCGTTCATGTTTAGACGGGCATAAAGTAAAATTTTAATTTGGCTTTACGAGCGTAAACAAATAAGGCATAAGGTTGGGAGAAGTTTCCCTGTTTACGTGCGCGCGACTTTTCATACCTCACCTCCATTTTTTTCTCGCACCAAAATTAATCCAGCTTTAAAACGTTAGCTACCGTACACGCGAATCTGCAAGAGCCTTCAAATGTAATTTCTACGGGAGACAATAAATCCAGATCAGGAGATAAGGAAGGGGGGTGGTCTCTTAATTTTTTTTCCGCCCTTCGCCTCAGTTTGGTCTAAAAATAATGCGGGGGAACCCGGGCCCCCCGCGCCCCTCTCCTAGATCCGCCACTGCAATATGAGAGTGATGATAAATGAAAATTAAGTGTATGGGTTCACGAGATGTATAAGCTCGATCATATTTCCGCTCTAGTTAGTTACGTTTAGGCACACCCAGCCTCGTTTCAAGTCGTCCTCGGCGATTTCGGATGTGACGTCACCTGTCAAACTTGTCGGGAAAATTGTCGCTTGTCGCACCTGTCAAGGTTGTCGACTAACGTGAAACGTCTTTTGATAAATCCATACAAATCCTTCTAATTTTTTTTTTTTTTTGGGGGGGGGGGGG